AACTCTTGTGAAAGTTAATTTTCATACCTGAAATTAACTCAAAACAACGCAATATGGCCTTTAAGCACCACAAATTCTGCATAGTAGCTTCTCCAATTATCAAAGTATCATCAGCGAACTGCAAAAGAGAAATTGGTGAACTTTCACCACCCAAGTGTAATCCCGTAAATAGATTCATATCTAAGGCCCTGATCATCAAAATCTCTGATATGGAATTTTTTGCTGTAATAATATTTTTAATTTAAAATTTACCAAAATAGAATTCTGGACACATTATTTACCCAACTAGCACTGAGAGGGGTGTATTGGATTAGGATTTTAAAAGACTTGTTTAGTTAAAAAAAATCTTGCAGATTTTAAAAGACTTTGCAGAATTTTCATGATTTTTAAGATTTTGCAAGATTCTACAAGACTTAAAATCAGGATTTTAATGGATTCTTTAAATCAGGATTTTAATGAATTATGTGAGATTTTGTAGAATTTTTGTGAATTTTTGACATTTGATAAGATTTCAAAAAAATTTTCATACATTCAAATTTAAAAAGAGTCAAAGACAAAAATAATAAAAAATAATAATGTCTAGATAAATAATAATAATAATAATTCTCCATAATATCTTATCCTCTTAAATAACATTCATCCACATATTCATAGCTATATTAGTCCTCCAAGCATTAGCGTCTTTTTGCTCTTGCTCCTGGATTTGAATAATAGGTTCAAAAGTATGATCTTCATTAACTGGTAACGTTGAAGATGAAAGTTCATCCCCCGCTTCAATTGGAAATTCATCAGAACCACATTCTTTACATAGAAAGTTATGTAGTGTTGCAAATAATAAAAAAAGTTATAATTGTGTCTTAAATAAAAATGGAGGTGCTGACTTAAAAATTGTGAACCTTGATTTAAAAATACCAAATATTTTCTCGATTAAATTCCTTAAAGACGCATGACGAAGATATTGAACAATTCTTTCTCATTTTCAGGGTCATTACCTTGATCTGCAAAATCTTGTAGATGATATCTTACACCTCGAAATGGAGCTAAAAATTGACGTCGATTAGGAAATCCACAATCTACCAAAAAATTATTTACCTAATTACATATGCAATATATATAA